ATACCATTTATTGCACGTATTTGTGGTTCCCAGATACCACACTTGCATGCATAGAAATTCTATATACCTTTACTCAAAGGCCTTTTTCTAGGGCTAAACATAGATTAAGACCCGCCATTAAAGGGTTTCTTACATACATAAAAGGCTTCGAAAAAATTGTCTAATTTTCGCATTTTTAATTTTTATCTTTTATCTGCATATTTATTATCTCTCAGAGTTTAGTCAGATGTATTACTGAGTGTTTGTTCAACGTGATATGAAATATGACCTTTGTTTATTTTTTCACCTTAATTTTTATCAAAAATGCTGCAGCTCTGGATATTACAGCCGCATTTGAAAAGGGACTTTTTGAAAAACTACATTTAGAAGAAGGTGCAATATAAATTCATACTTAAAAAATTATAAACAAACCATTGTAATGTTTTTGTTTTGAAATAAACTCCAACTTGTTTGAAATTGATAAAAACACAATTTGAAAACAATTAAAGAGACAAAGAATATCAACAACTAGCTGAAGTGTCCGACGTTGCCCGGAGAATTTTAGAAACATTAAAAAAATTTGTTCGAATAAAAATATTTTATTTTAAAAATATTTTATTAAAAAAAAATTTTAGTAAAAAAATTTTTAAAAAAATTCAAATTTATTTTAGCCTTTGTCACCCTCAGGGTACCCATGGGTTTTTTAACAAAAATTCAGCCCATTCGGTTTAGCCATTTGTAAATCATTTTGTGCATAACAATAAAAAAATAATTTATCAACATTGTACCTTTATTTATTTATTATTTATTACAACAAACGAAATTTAGTAGACGAAAAAGCTAAAACACACTTTTTTCAGAGACACCCTATATATCTGTAACCTTACATGGTTAGAGTATAACTAGGGAGGTTTTAAAATATCATCCAGTTTTATGACTGTCCTCTAAAGCCTACAAATTCATTTTACAAAATTTACTCACAAATTTTATTACTTAAAAAACTTTATAATTTAGATAGTTTGAGACCTATAACTTTGTGATTTAGTTATTTTGAGGCTTATAACTTTATAATTTATATTGTCTGAGACTTATATCTTTATGAATTAGATAATCTAAGGCCTATAACTTTATAATTTAGATAATCTGAGATCTATAACTTTATAATTTAGATAATCTGAGATCTATAATTTTATAATTTAGATAATCTGAGATCTATATTTTTATGATTTAGATAATCTGAGATCTATATTTTTATGATTTAGATAATCTGAGATTTATAAATTTATAATTTAGATAATCTGAGATCTATAACTTTATAATTTAGATTGTCTGAGACTTATATCTTTATGATTTAGATAATCTGAGGCCTATAACTTTATAATTTAGATAATCTGAGATCTATAACTTTATAATTTAGATAATCTAAGATCTATAATTTTATAATTTAGATAATCTGAGATCTATATTTTTATGATTTAGATAATCTGAGATCTATAAATTTATGATTTAGATAATCTGAGATCTATAAATTTATAATTTAGATAATCCGAGATCTATAAATTTATGATTTAGATAATCTGAGGCCAACCACCTTTGATCCATATCGGAAACCAAGCCAAGCCTATTTCTGGAACAGAGAATGGGTAATTTTGTATTTATTTAAATTGGCAAAAAGATAGAAGAGTTGAACAAAATGTAAAATAGTTTCATTTTTGCCAGCTCAATTTTTTCTATTTACAATTAGCTAGAAGACGTAATTTTTGGTTTTTACAGAGAGAACATAATGTACAATATATTTCGAAATGTGATGGACGGGGTGGGTAACACATTATTTAGTGTTTAGTGTTAGGTTAGGCTATGAGATGAGCTTGAGGTTACAAGAAGATCCAAGCGCTGGGACGGACAAGCGTAGAAAATAAAAGTACAGCAAACACTACAAATATATTGAATGTTTTGTCACCTATCAAGAATACTGTGTAGAAGAAAGACGATTTCTTATTTATTTTAGTAAAATTTGTTTTGTTTAGTTCAAGTCTGAGAAGAGCAATGTGGAACTTGAGTTCAATATTCATAATCTTCATGAAAACTTCTTTTTTCCAGGCAATCAATAAACCAATAATGAATATTTCCTTATATTTTTTGTCTTGCAATACTATTTTTATATGATATTTCTATTGATTTTTATCTTTCAAAATATCACCATATTCTTTTCGGCATAAATATGTTTAATCTATTATTTTGACATGTTTAGGTTTGTCTCTGATTGTTCTGAAAACAACATTTGAAAAGAGGTGATTTAAAAGATTTTAATCAAAATAACAACTTTCATTGCTACATTTTAGACAAGTTAAAGATGATGATGATGATATCGAAATATACCTCAGTAAAAACAACAAGGAACGGAACTGAAAAATTACATTTCAAAATTTTTTTTACTTTCTAAAAAAAGAAAAAATAGAAAAACTACTAAAAAATTGTTTTAATGGGATTGTGATCCTCCATGGAGCTAGCTGGGAATGTCCGATTTTGTACGGTACCCTTTAAACTTTTGCATGGTTTAGGTTGATATCTTGAAATATAGTGCTGGGCAACCACAACTCAAACTTTAGCATAGGAATAAGGGTATCTTATTCACCCTTGATGATTCAGAGGTTTGAAAAAAAAACATTGTGAATAGGGCTTTACAAATTGCAGGTCACTTGTATTAACGTCTTCAGTCACTTTAAATGATGTTTAAGTCTGATAAACTGAAGGATAACGAGGATGATGAAGATAATAAGCCTGATGGAAAAATAACAAAATCACATGATTTCCCCAAAACAGGTATTATTTTTGGTCTTACCCCTATTCCGGCTGGGGGGGGGTCCCTGGGACCCCCTCCCTCAGCCCTCAAAGCGGGGATTTTATACCTACTGCCTGAGTCCTCAGGCAAACCTTTACCGGACTAAATTTATATTTAGACCTACTTCCGATCATTGGATTTGCATAGGTTTTGCTCAGATGCCTTTAAAGAGAATTTGCACATTTTCAGTTTTCCTGAAATACAAATTTAGTTTCTGAAAATTTTGCAAATATGTTGCATATTTGAATTCTCCTCGGTAAGGGCTTTTCAAAAATGTATTTATCATATTTCGTGCACTTTTTGTTTTTGCACATTTTTGTTATTGCAATAAATACTTGAAATTTTGAAAATTTGCAAATTTTTTGGCAGATTATTAAATGTATCAAATGTTATAGATTTGTATCACAATCAGGAAATAGAGGGTGTGGGGGGGGGTTCATGGGACCCCCTCTGGACTAAAGTAAACCAGACGTCAGCCTGAATAGGGTTAATATCAATTACAAAATTTAACATTTTCACAATGGAATTTTTAAAATTAGAAACTTCCCAATTATTCATAAATCATCACAGTTTTAGCACAATTTCCCAAGTATCCATTTCAGCCTAACTAAATACTTAAGGATATTCAGATGAACATGTATTTCAAACATGGTCCAAAAGCTATGAAGATTCAAATTATACTATCAAGGTAAAAAAACCTTTTTTTGATTTTTCTTATACCTTAAAAAATGTATAAATTAATCAAGTTTACATTAAAATTTGATTTTACGAAACTTAATTACATGAAAAGGGATCTTTATGGAATGTTGCTTATTGAACAATGAAAATATTATCAGAGAAGGGAATTTAATTATTATTTGTAATTCTAAACTGTATTTCCATTTGCAAACAGAACTTTCTCATAAGTATTTTTGATTGAAAACCTCTCCTTAGAACTGAACTTTGATTTCCTTTTAGAAGAATGTCAGTCAGAAAACTGTATGCAGTATATTCAGGGGACATTAGTTCCAAAACTAACACTTGGCCCATTTCTAACACTGAGTGTTAGAAATGGGCACAAATTGAAAGACTGGGTGTTTGGGATCCCGGCCCATATCCAGAGTAAAAGTCAATAATAAGAACTATAACTAACATTTTATTTAAAGGGAGTACCCGGCTATGTAAGGTAGTTGAACTGAGTATGCAGTGTTGTGGAAAACCTCTTTCGGATTCATTTGAGACATATTAAACTTTTTAAAGATCTGTAAATCCTGAGTTTGAGCGCAAATTCGACGTTCAAAACTCCTACTTTGGGGGTGGATACGTTTTCAGAATTAGTTTTTTTATTGTTAAATAACGACAACGAAAAATAAAGTAAAAATTATATAGTAATCTAATTAGATGGTTAGGAACATATTTCTCAAAAGAAATTTGTCTTTAAATGAATGCTAAATCGATTATATTGTTTTCATTATTATATTGAATTTTTAATTTTCTTTGAATTTATTCGCAGATTTCTTCAAATTCTTCAAATGTCGTCTTTTCAATAATAATTCTAGAAAATCTGCGAAAATCTTTGTGAATAATGAGAAACCAGAAAATGAGATAATAGAAACTAATAAATGAACAAGATTACTTATTTTCGATGATAAGATTAGCTTTTATTTTCTCAACATTTTCCTAATCATGACGTCTGTAGTTTATTAAAGAACTTTTTTACATTTTATGTCGTCGTTATTTAATAATTTAAAAAAACTAATTCTGAAAACGTATCCACCCCCAAAGTAGGAGTTTTGAACATCGAATTTGCGCTCAAACTCAGGATTTACAGATCTTTAAAGTTTCATATGTATCAAATGAATCCGAAAGAAGCTTTCCACAACACTGCATACTCAGTTCAACTACCTTACATAGCCGGTCACTCCCTTTAACATGACGAGGACAACATTTCCCAATTTTAAACTTTTTTAAAAATCAAAATTATAATAGGAGTTCTTGGTATATTAAAGCTCTTGACCGTTTTCAAGATAATGTTAGATTTTCAATTTTCGAACATATTTTGAATTTGAAACATTGTTGCGTTTTTGAGTCAAAACCCACTTTCCCGTTTTGAGTATAATCCACATTTCAAAACAAAACTCACTTTCATAACTTACAAAATTAATCACTGAAAATAAAAATTATCTTATGAAGACTAGATTAACTTCAGAATTATTTCTAGAATCTAAGTTTCCACATTTTATCTGTTAAATTAGAGAATATTCATGATTTATTTTCAAGCATTTTAAGCAAACAGTTTCCCGCATTTCTTGTTAAATCTATATTGTAAGAACAAATGATATTAATATTTGAATAAATTTTGAATTATAAAAGAACAGTTTGTTTCTATTTTCTATTTTGTTTATATTTTACCTTATAAAAAAATCTTTTTGTTACGTAAGTGCATAAACGCTTAAAAATTGACATTGATATGAATTCCGGTAATTGTCTCAAAACCAGGATTGTTGTCGCTAAGGCACAAGATTCTGACGATGAACAGATAGACAAGGTATAACCCACAAATCAAAATCGATAATGCAGAAAAACTCTTTATTTCCTAAAAAAATAATGAAATGAATAATGATAAATAATTATTACAGTGTTGACAAGGATATGTTCCGAAAACGCGACATCAGCTGAAATCCGGTAAATGTTTCAAAATAGGGATATGTTCAAAAATGAAATCAAAAATCATCAAAAACTAATTCTCCCACCTTATTATTTGTTTAAAATTGACATTTATTGTTTCAACATATATTTTCAGCCATTTTTTTAATAAAACTATAGTGTAATTTTGTTCTACTCGTCTTGGATTTAAAGATATATTCTCTTGAAAAAGATAACTTTGCAGATTTGGCTCATTTCTAACACTCAGTGTTAGAAATGAGCCAAATGTTAGTTTTGGAACTAATATCCCCTGACATTGCAAACATACACAAAACTTCATTATAGAGAAATAAATCATCCTCCAAGAAAGAACGCCTTTTTAAATTAGAAAGTTTATGAGGAACTTAAGTTTTAGCCGGTCTAAATACAGTGCAGGAAACCATTTGTTTATCAATTTCCAGTTTTCATAAACAAAAAAGTTTAGTCAGAATATGTAAAGACTTCTTTTACTTTTGCAGATAATGATAAATAACTTGAAATCCTTGGAGAATATATATTTTGTGGTGACTGCATACAGGTTAATTAAACAAAATGTTGTGATTCTGCATGATATATGCTACATGCATGTGTCTCTGAAAAAAGTGTGATTAGACTGTTTAGCCTATACTAAACATCATTGTATTGTGTTAAAAAGTGCAAACAAACCCCAAACATAAATTTAAATTATAACTCTACTTCTACAACCGAATAGAATAAATTGCACATTTTCAAGCAAAGAATCGAGGATTTATCAAAATAAATGACAAAAAAAGATCTTTGATTTTTTTTGAAAATCTTAAGAAAAGGGACTAAACATATTTGGAGGTAATAACGGCATTTTAAAGCAAATTATTTTAACCACAACACCCCAGTATATGGGCTTTATACCACAACACCCCAGTAATATGGGCTTTATACCACAACACCCCAGTATATGGACTTTATACCACAACACCCCAGTATATGGGCTTTATACCACAACACCCCAGTAATATGGGCTTTATACCACAACACCCCATTATTTGGACTTTATTCCACAACACCCCAGTATATGGGCTTTATACCACAACACCCCAGTATATGGACTTTATACCACAACACCCCAGTATATGGGCTTTATACCACAACACCCCAGTATATGGGCTTTATACCACAACACCCCAGTATATGGACTTTATACCACAACACCCCAGTATATGGGCTTTATAACACAACACCCCAGTATACAGGCTTTGCACCTGCCAGTAACACTTTTTATTATAACAAAACGAGGTGTTGATTAATTAATTATTTTATATCTTCCGAAATGAGACCAACCACAATTTTGAATATTAGTCCCAACTTTGGAGGTTAAAACGGCATTTTAGAGAAAAATATTTCATAGACTAACCCACCCCCCTTACGGGGGTTGTACCTACTTCATGTACTATCGACCAAAACAAACGATGATTAGTATGCTAAAAAACCTAAACAAAATTTTTCACAGAGACACATAACACCTTGTGTATTGTTGGAAAAAATGAATAATTCAATAAAATTGATTAAGGCGGCTGTAAACGTAATTCTAAATGACCCTCTGTTGATAGAGTAGGATATCCCATAAACAACGGTCCCCTTGAAAGCTTTGTCTGATAAAGTATGAATTAGATATCCATGTTGTTTCTTTATGAAAACTAATTAATCCTTAAAAGGGACAATTACACATATCTAACTTTAGAAATTATATTCCTCATCATTAATCAAATGAAGTTTTAAAGAAACCGTTGTGAGTTAGACATGCCCTCTTTTTTCTTCAAATGGAGGCACATTTAAGATCACGTCTTCAGTATTTTCAAAGCTCAGCCAATTTTGATATGTTTGGGGGTATTTTGTAGATATGACATCAAAAATTAGCATACTATGACGACCTCTCAGATCAAAATAAAAATCTAAAAATAATTATAGAATTGGTAAGTTTTGATATAAAATCAAACTATAGGATATGCATATGTATTTATTTAAATTGCCCCTAGTTTAGACAAACTAATTGATCTTTGCTTTGCACTCAACTTTTCTAATCCCTATATCTTTGAATCTAGATGATGTAAACCTTTAATTTTTAATTTTGATTATTTTATCTAAAAAAGCTTACGGTATAGTTTTTTTTATTTTAATCTTGAATAATTAGATTTAACGGAATGCATGGTTTGAAAAATCTAAGGTCTGCGACATTGGGTTGGAAAAATATAGGAAATAGAAAATCAGAGTTTGAGAAAAAAACAGTGAACAATTTTAAATTGAAAAAAAATGCACTAAAAAAATATTTTAAAAATTACATTTTTTAGAATAAGTAGAAACTTGGGCAATACTCGATCATGTGAAGACAACAGTAGGTAAAAATATTGTAAATAACAATAACATAAAAAAATTCATTTATGTAATTCTGTTTGTTTAAATAAACTTAAAAGATTTCAGCGTCCACCCTTTATAACTAAGGAATATATTCTCGAGTTGAAATTGTACTATGAAAAATAAGGGTATCTTATTCGTCCTTGATAAGTTAATCAAGTTTGAAGGCGTTTTTAAAGGTACCATTGTAAATCCGACATTGAATGCTATTACTGGAGGGTCATTTGAAATTACGTCCCATAAGATCAAAAGTTATTTTAATCACCTGGGATTTTTGAACCAGTTCAACAAACTTTTAAAATTTTTTTTGTTTCTCTTAATTTCTTTAAAATTTCTTATATAACAAATTGAGCTTTGTATTCTTGCTCAGGTCATGAAACTAAATGAAAGCACAAAAAACGGCAGGCCACATTTTGGAAATTTGGGGATTAGTGTTTTAAGTATATATATATATACTAGCCTTAGAGGGCGCTTCGCGCCCATCTTTTAAATTAATTGTGAACATGTTCTCTTTGTGTACATCATAAAACAAAACAAAATAATTCCGGATTTTCACAAAAAATTTCGTGGATTTTCAAAATTTTAAAAAATTTAATGAAGATCGAATTTTGATGGAGACAAATATTTAAAATTTCAATCAATCATAAACCTTCCCTGTGGTCATGTGATGTCCCACAAAAAATTTGGGCCCGATCGGTTCAGCCGTTTTAACGTTTATTGGATACAAACAGACAGACAAACAGACAAACAGACAAGCCAAATTTATATATAGATATGTATATATGTATATATATATTATGTAAAGTATATAAATACTTTGCTTGTCTGTTTGGGTGTTTGTTTGTTTGTTTGTATCTAATAAACGTCAAAACGGCTGAACCGAACGGACCCACATTTTGTTTGGAACTTTAATATCCCCAGGAAAGGTTTATAGATGATCAAAATTTCAAATTTTGCCTCCAACAAAATTTGATTTTTATTAAAATTTAGAAATCCACTAAATTATTTTTAAAAATCCGCAAACTTTTTGTTTTTGTTTTACAATTTGTATACAAAGAGAAAATGCTCACAATTGAAATAGAAGATAGGCGCAAAGCAGCCTTTAAGCCTAGTATTGTATAAAGGAAGAATTCTAACTGGAACAATATGTTCTTATCCATTTAAAAACTAAATTGTTTATTTGAGGGAAAATGAGTGGTTTGACTGTAACAGAAGCAACGTTGAAAATCTACTATTGTGCATCAGCGATGAACTAACTTGTAACACTCTGCCCAACTGTGCCAGCACCCAGCTGCCCAACCCAGATGAAAACTGTGAATATCAGGTTAATCAGGATGAAGCCGATTTAAAGTCCTCTTTAATAATCTTTGAATTAAACAGATTTTGTAATATGTCATAGTTATGGCTAATACACAGGGTTAACCCAAAACACTAGAATGACGGCTTACAACTATACTACAAAAAGCCTTAAAAAATCCCTACAGTCGTCTCTGAAGTCTTATCTTTTGTGCATCTCTTAAATGTCACAGTAACTTAAAGTTAAATGTCTCTTAAATGTCTCTTAAATGTCTCTTAAATGTATAAATTTTTAAAGCCTGGTTACTCCTTCCCCATCACTATACATGAATATGCATCCTCAAAATCCTCAGCATCATTGAGGATATCAGATGTTGCCCTATAATCCTCTCCAGATTACCCTTTGCAAGGAACCAATCTAGGTTGTGATCAGGATCAGCTATGATAAACTAGCCAGTCTAACTACAGACCAGTATATATTCTCCAGCTGGTTCTATGATGAACAGAGCTACTGGAGACTTGGAGCATCTAGAGTGTTTATACACAGGAGGACTAGGATATACAGGATATAGAGGAGAACTGGTATATCCAGGATAAATCAGTGGATATTAAAGATAATCTTGAGACAGGAGAGGCTGCCCTTTACAGATAGCTCTTCACAGATCTGTTGTAGAAACAGCTAAATAACAAGATAATCTTGAGATAGGAGACGCTGCTCTTTACAAACAGCTCTTCATAGATCTATTGTAGAAACTGTTAAAGAATTAAATAATCTTAAGACAGGAGACGCTGCTCTTTACAGACAGCTCTTCACCAATCTGTTGTAGAAGCAGCTGAGGAACAAGAGATCTTGTTGCAGGAGACGCTGCTCTGCTACTTGGCTCAAGGGTTCAATGCAGGATCCCTGACAGACTCCAGGGAGCCGTTCTGCACAGTAAATTAAATGTATTTTAAATGTCTGTTAAATGTCTCTTAAAAATGTATAAGTAACTTAAATGTCTCTTAAATTTATAAGTAACTTAAATGTCTCTTAAATGTCTAAGTAAGTTAAATGTCTCTTAAATGTCTAAGTAACTTAAATGTCTCTTAAATGTCTAAGTAACTTAAATGTCTGATAAAGACATCCGTCATTCTACTTTTAAAGTTATGACTGTAGTATGTAAAATTAAATAATATAACAGTCTGTCCACAATATGGAATGATTTCATTTTAAATTCTAAATTGAAATTTGTTGTATTTAGTTACCACTAAACATTTTGACTATCTACAAGAGATTTAAAAGCTACATCCTTTAAACAAAATCAAAAGCACTTGATTAATACTCTAATACTTGTCCTATTCCACATTTTTCAGGTACTTACTGTATGTTTGCCGCGTTTTGTATTTTTCTGTTTTAGATCAGTTTTGAGAATGCGTTAAAGTTGCTTCTGTACACTGTAACAGTCGTCTTCTTCCTGATATTGGTGGCTGGGAGATTGTCGAGTGTATGATTGTTTATTTCTGCAAAATTAGGTCTGTACAGTGTACAGTAAACATCTTTTATTAAGGCTGTCTTACTCCCGATGCGCTCCAATTTATGGGAAATTTCGTCTTCAAGCTAAAATCCCTAAATGAAGAGACTGATTATGGGGCAGTGTGCATATGGTAGGGTGATCAGAGATGATATTTTAAAAGCTTAAACCCGACTAAAACCCAGTCTTAGCGTCTGCTTAGACCCAAGTAAAGCTCAAGTCAAGACACGGGTTTTGAATGGCCTTGAGTTTAGTAAAAACCAACCCTCTTGGGTTTTACTCTCTTTAAGACTGAAGTCTTCAGCAGCACATGATTGTAACTTTCATAAAATCTTTTATTACATTTATAATCTCGGGAATTATTTGTGGTGTCAAATTTTATTAATTATATAAAATAAACATACTATGATATAATGCATCTACATAAAGTTTGAATTATCGAAATTTACATCTCCTTGTCACAGCTCATCTGACAGCATTCTGTCTTCTACAGAGAGAAAGCTTGCAAAACAGTCTCTCATTGGTCGAATCAGAAACAATCCTGACTTGGGTTCTATCTAAGCCCGAGTTTGGGTTTTAGTTGGGTTTAAGCTTTTAAAATATCATCTCAGTTGTAATTACGTATGGCGTAAATACGTAATTACGGTCAGGGGCATAAATAAGGATTCTACACGGGGGGGGTAAATTTTTTTAATGTGGTGCGCGAAGAGCGTCAATTTTTTTTTACCCCACTCTAGAATTGTTTTACCCTCCCCTAGAAAAATATCATGATGTTTATCAAATTATTGATTTTAGTTGGGGTTGATTTGCATTTTCCACTCATTTCTGGCATTTACATACTCCATTAAATAAAGGCTTCATTTCCTACCTTCTAGCTTTCACCTTGTTTTGTATCCTTCATTATAGTCATTCATTTTACATTAACTACAAAGATCTTAAAAAATTGAATTTATTTAAAGTAAAATAAAAAATAGTTTTACTCTAAGAAGAAAAGCTACTCTGCAAAACTTTGAAAAAATATTGTTTTTGTTTATATTGTAATTTCTAATTTCTAAAATTTTCTTGCCGTCAATGTACTAGAAATATAAGTTAATTTCACAAAATTAAAAGAGAAATGTCATACTTTTTCAAATTTATTAATTATTTCTACCCTACTGCGCTATAGGCATGAAAAAAGCTGCTGAATCGGATGGGCAAGAAGATATGCCCATCCGACCTACAGCTGTCGTAGGTCAGATGTTGCAGTAGGCCGGATGGGCAGTATAGCGGATGGGCAATAGGACGGATGGGCAGTAGAGCGGATCAACATTACCCTTTTAAAGAGAAAATACGTTTGTTAGTTGAAAAATCCTAAGTCAGAAAACATTCAGGTTATTTGTCTCAGTAAAAAAAACATTCATAACCTTATCTTCCTGAAATAACTTGAAACTAATTGTCATAAAACTTATATATATCAGCAAAAATGTTTTCAAAAAACCAATGTTTTCAAAACGGTTTTTTTTGTTTAAAAAATTAAATCATTTTTTGTTTTTTGAAAGTTCAAAACAAGTGGTTTGTTTTAAAATTTGATTGTTTTTTTTAATAAAACAATTGTTTTTAGAAAAAAAGTTAAAACAAAACAAAAAATAATCGTTTTTTGATCATTTTTGAAAATGATTACTGTACACACTTTAGCGTACACAATTTGACTTCTGCGGTGTTACAATTAAGCACAGACAAACACAGACTGCACATGGCACATGCACTCTCACGGAAACAACTCTGACGGAATAGCATAGCTTGCCTATTTTTGTCCGGGCACGACATGCTCTTTTCCACAAGGTTTTTTTACTGTCATCCAACGAACATTTGTTGCATATAATACCAATTCAAGGGTTAAGTTATGCATACTCCAATTTTTAACATGAAACATCAAATTTATGAATTTATTTTATTTTTGAAGGTTTTGTATTTAGTATTCAAAGGATCTTTAAATATCCCAGATTTCGGGCTCTGTGGAAAAATCGCATTTACTAGCATGTGAGCAGTCTGTGTTAAACTGTGCAATTAGTTGTTGTTTTGTTTCCTTAGGACAAGGAAGGCAATGTGTATTCAAATTTTTGATCTTTTGTACAAAAATTACTGTTTTTCAGTTATAGTTTCAGTCAAATTCTTTTTGAAGCCCCTACTTTTTTCCAAATCAAAACCCTACAAAGATATCCAGAAAATTGTTAGATATCCGGCTGTTAATCAATTTTAAAAATGATCGTTAGACAATCGTTTTTTTTGTTTAGTTTTTCAATCGTTTTCAAAAACGATCAGTTCATTTTCGGAAAAAAACGATCGTTTTTAAAAACGATTTAAACTTTTTGAAAACAATAATTTTTTTAAAACGATTTGCGAACTTTTTTTATACGATTGTTAAAAAAAAATTTTATTGACAATTATGTTAACGATCGTTAACGAAGGGTTGTTGTTAACGATTGTTAACAAAGGGTTGTCGTTAACGATCATTAACAAAGGACGAGTTTTATAAAACGATCGTTTTGAAAAACAATCGTTCTTAACAACCATCATTTTTAAAAACGACCATTTTTAAAAAACAAACTTTTTAAAAAAACGATCGTTTCGTTTTCGATTTTTCGTCGTCGTTTTTGCTTTTAAAAAAAATGAAAACATTAACATCCCTAAGTACGTGTATATATATATATGTCAATATGAAGTCTATAATTTAATCTAATATTAAGTTACTTGGATTGCAAGCTTGGACAGAGATGTGGATTAAACAACTGTGTAGATTTCTATTCTAATAATGCTCACTCAACATCATCGGCTGCTGTATTTAATTCAATTGCTGTATATGTGTATATGCGTGTAGAGATGGGCGCGTTTAGCTTTTTTACATTTCATTGTTTTTTATCAAGTATAAAAAAATTGATTTTGTTTATCCTTAAAAATATCTATTTAGTTTATTTTCTCAGAAAATGATCGTTCTTTAACCCTATCCCCGCTGGGGTACTTGAAAACCAGGATACGCTGGGGGGGGTCAATTTGACCCCCCCCCCTCTAAATCCCATGTTTTATGTCCAAATATGACAAATGATACATCATTAGAAAGCTCTTGTACTCTACTTTTATAATCTGCAAAAAAAATTGCAAATTTGCGAAAATTGAATTTTTTATCGCAAAATCCAGTTTGTTTGCAAAAAAAAAGTTGTCCAAAAAATGACAAATTATACATTTTTGAAAAGCCCTTGACCATGCCATTTCAAATATGCAAAAAATTTTGCAAAATTTTAAATAACCTGATTTTTAATCAAGAAAAACTAAAATGTGCAAATTTTCTTTGACAGGTTGTTTGCAAAAAATTTGCAATTTTTTTTCGCAAAACTTGGGCAATCCGTTTCCTTATGTCATAGGCTTTCCAAAAAGCTAAATTTTATCAAAATCTGACAAGTGAAAGTGGGTCAAAACAAAGATTTAGTTTGCTACAGGCAAAAGCAGTCATTCAGGCAGTGTGCCTGAGGACTCAGGCAGTTAGTATTAAAGCCCGGTTTTAGGCCTAAAGGGAGGGCTTTGGGTATGTAAGAAAAGTCAGAAAATTTCAACAGCCTCAGACCAATACTTTTTGAGTTATGTAAAAAAAACTACAGGGGGGGGGGTCAAATTGACCCCCCCCCCAGCGGGAATAGGGTTAAAATTGTTTGTTTAAATGAAATCTTTTGTTCAGTTAAAAAACGTCAATAGTTTTTTCAAAAGTTTGTTGGAAAAAATTGTTTGTTGGGTAAAAAACCTACAGTATTTTTAAAAGTTTGTTCCAAAATATTTTTTTTTCAGTAAAAATACCATAATTTTTCATGTTCATACAGACAAAATTGTTGTTCTTTTTATTTCTTTGAATAATCTTAGTCTTTCTTCTGTCGTTCATTTTTCATGAACAATACCTTCATTCTCTAAAATGTTGTAAATTCTCAAAAATGGTGTTAATTCTCAAAAATGTTGTTTATTCTCTAAAATGTTGTTTATTCTCTAAAATGTCGTAAATTCTCAAAATTGTTGTTTATTCTCTAAAATGTTGTTTATTTTCTAAAATGTTGTTTATTCTCAAAGATGTTGTTTATTCTCTAAAATGTTGTTTATTCTCTAAAATGTTGTTCATTCTCTAAAATGTTGTAAATTCTCAAAAATGTTGTTCATTCTCAAAAATGTTGTTTATTCTCTAAAATGTTGTTTATTCTCTAAAATGTTGATCACTATCTAAAATGTTGTAAATTCTCAAAAATGTTGTTAATTCTCTAAAATGTTGTTTATTCTCTAAAATGTTGTTTATTCTCTAAAATGTCGTAAATTCTCAAAATTGTTGTTTATTCTCTAAAATGTTGTTTATTTTCTAAAATGTTGTTTATTCTCAAAGATGTTGTTTATTCTCTAAAATGTTGTTTATTCTCTAAAATGTTGTTTATTCTCAAAAATGTTGTTTATTCTCTAAAATGTTGTTTATTCTCTAAAATGTTGTTTATTCTCAAAAATGTTGTTTATTCTCTAAAATGTTGTTCATTCTCTAGAATGTTGTTTATTCTCTAAAATGTTGTTAATTCTCTAAAATGTTGTTTATTCTCTAAAATGTTGTTTATTCTCTAATATGTGGTTCATTCTCTAAAATGTTGTCAATTCTCAAAAATGTTGTAAATTCTCAAAAATGTTGTTCATTCTCAAAAATGTTGTTTATTCTCTAAAATGTTGTTTATTCTCTAAAGTGTTGTTAATTCTCAAAAATGTGTAAATTCTCAAAAATGTTGTTTATTCTCTAAAATGTTGTTAAAGTTAAATCCACTGTTGAACTAAACAAATCCACTAAGGGATAAAGTAAATAAAAGACACATTAAGGGAGTAACAACGGCAAAAGAAAACCGTAACAAGGTTGTTAATAATAAAACTTACATAGGGACAAATACAGCAAATAAAACTAGAAATAAGAAAGAGTAAAAATTAAACCATATATAAAGAGAACCTAAGGAGAAATATATTGATGGTCAGATAAAGCAAAATATAGTAACAAGAAAAAGAAGTCCACTGAGGGACAAACTAAGTAAATAAACTAAGAAAAAATTAAACCAAAAGGGCCGAACATAGTAAACAAACCCAAGTAATTGAGTAAAATCCGCTGAGGGAAAACTTAGTAAAAAGGAATTATAACGTAGCATAACAGAGAGTATACCATAACCAAACTTACCTAAAGTAGCATAACGAGAGAGTAGCATGACCAAACTAACCTTGAAGCACAGAGGTATGAGGCACCAGAGGAGCCGGCGGCCAGGCTATAGGCGGAGTTTTCGACTTCAGGCCGGTTGGGCCCAGGCTGAGCAGTGTTTCACACCGTTGGTTGTAGGTTGCGAAGTTCTGCTTAGAATCTGGTAGAGAAAGAGAAAGTTAATAAAATAGAAAATAAGCGTAAAAAGAAAAGGAAAAGGTATTATAAGTTAGATTAAATATTGTAGGTATTACGAGCTGGAATAAAACTGTGGGTGAGCTAAAAAGTTGGGAAGAAGGTTAAAAATTGAAGGTAAAGAAAAGAAAACCTGGGAAGATAAGAAAAGAAAAATTGTAGAGATAGATATTTAACTTGTCAACAATATTTAATTGATATTAAGCGAAAAATAGGTAGTGAAAGAAATATATAAGTTTAGTAGAAATTTTAATAAATATAAGTTAAAGGAGAAATATCCGTCCAGGGGTCCATGAGTTATGATAGGACATCAAAACCAACAAACAAACACAGACTACTATACTTTATATATATATAGATGTACTGCTCTATGGCAAGGGGTTAACATTTTATCAAATAATAA